TGTTCATATAGCAGGAAAGTTATGAATGACTACATGCAAGGAGAAAACATTGAAGAATATAAACTAAAAGGAGTCAGTGATGAAACATTTAAAATCTTTTATCAACTTTTTATAAAAAACAAAGTTTCTATCGAAATTTCTGAAGATATTCTGAAAGAAATATATCAAATAGGCATAGATCTCGAGATTGAAGACTTTTTCGATTGGTATAGTACTCTTATTTTCAGAGATGAAATAAACTTAAAAAATATAGAAGAAGTCCTTTCATTTATAAGAAAATCGCGAAAGAATTACAATGAAAAACTAGATGACATTATCATATTCATAGCGAAAAATATTTCGGAAATAGAACCATCAAAACTTATTGATTTATGTCGTATTGGTTCCGAAAACATATTAAGCAATCAAGATTTCATCGATAAAATCATTTCAAAATGTGAAGAACTCGGATATTTTCAAGATGAAAACAAAGTTGATAAAGTATATGACTTCTTGATTGCGTTGATCAAAGATTGCAGTTATTTTGCTTATTATATCAATAAATTTGATGCTGAAATGATTCGATCCTCAGTAATGAATACGTTATTGGATCTTACTTCGAATGAATCCTACAAGAAGTATCAGAATTATGTTTTAGAAATGCAGAAAAAGATCAACGAACTTGATGGAAGGAATCCGAAAATAGTCAAAGCAAGATATGAACAATATGAATCATTTTTGTCTATTATTTGTGACAAAATTCATTCAAATCAAACAAATGATGAGTTGATCAATAGATTCTTAGATATCTTCCAAATTCAAAACAAATTTGATGATATTTATAATTTCCTTTCGCAGAGAGCAGATGTGAAAGATGAATCGACAATAAAAGTTGCATGTACAATCGGATTATCAGAAATCGTTGATGATCAACAAAACACAATCCTTCTCTCTGCATGTTTGAAGAACAATTACAATCTTGTCGAATCTCTTATCAACAACAAATGCAACAAAACAGCAATTAACAAAAATAAAGACAATGCAGTTCTTTGCACATCAATCAGTGGCAGCACAAAGATATTCGATTTTCTCATTAAAAATGGCTTAGATGCTAAAATATCTAACGAAATCACAGGGAGAAATGCCGTTTTAACAGCTTGTGAAAGCGGAAACTTTGAAATGATTAAGCATCTAGTATCTCAAGGCTTTTCACTTTCAGACTTAGACAAAGAAAATCAAAATTGTATACTTCTAGCTGTTTCTTCTGGTAATTGGGAAATAATCCATTATTTAATTCAAAATGATGCAGACCCATCTCTACATTCATCAAATAATGACCTTCCTATTTTTAGATCCGTAAGGCTTGGACATCTTGAGATTTTCCAGAATTTACTTATATATTGTCACAATTTTGATCCAAATGCTGAAGATGATTTTCTTACAATTGCAATTTCTCATCAAAGATACAAAATAATAAAATACATTATCGACAAAAAATTAGTTAGAATTAAAGAAAAACATAAAAATTTAGTTAAATCGTATCTTTCGAATTGCGATTCTCTTGAAGAAATAGAAACCATAAAGAAGATTGACCCAATTTTTTCAAGCAATTATAAAGCACAGGAATCTACTAAATCTGACGCTAATCAAAACGAATCAGCATATGTTGATATAAATCAAAATGAATCAACACCTGCTGAAACAATTCAAAATGAATCAACATCTGTTGATATAAATCAAAATGAATCAACACCTGCTGAAACAATTCAAAATGAATCAACATCTGTTGATATAAATCAAAATGAATCAACATCTGTTGATATAAATCAAAATGAATCAACACCTGCTGATATAAATCAAAATGAATCAACACCTGCTGATATAAATCAAAATGAATCAACATCTGTTGATATAAATCAAAATGAATCAACACTGTTGATATAAATCAAAATGAATCAACATCTGCTGAAAAATTCAAAATGAATCAACATCTGTTGAAACAATTCAAAATGAATCAATACCTGCTGATATAAATCAAAATGAATCAACATTTTCTAATCAAACTCAATCACAAACATCCGACACAGAACAACCAAAATCATCAAAATCTAGTAAAAATAAGGACAGCAAAATAACTATTGATTCATGGCTATTTAAAAGATCAAAATATCGAAAAATTTTCTTCTGTATGACGACTTTAATTATACTAATATTTATATTGATTCATTAATCCAAATTGTAAGTAAATTATTATTGCTAAGTTTATAATATACTAAAATACTAGTTTTCATCTCGTAAATTTATGAATCTCAATTTTTTTGAGAGTATCTGAATTCATAAAGAATAATCATAAGCAAAAAATAATTGATTTCTATATGAATAAAATAAATCAAAAATCAAGAATTCTTCTGGATTCGGAACAATCATCATCAAATTATTGTTTATCATCTTGCAATTGCATTGATCTGAAATTATCAGAGTCTTTAACATTGTCTTGAGGAACTTTCTTATATGGCAAATACTTCAATACTCTCTCATGAACTTCATATAAATTTGAAGTATTTATAAGTGATCGGTGAAGTGATTGTGAAAGAAAATGACTTGACTCAGTTCAAACTTCTATAGACACCGTATCTGTGAGGTTTTGCAAAGAACGAAAGAATGAAGAATGTTTGGAAAAGTGTTAATTTATCTTCAATTTTTTTGTAATCTTTGAAGAAATATTCGAATTCCTCGTTTTTTATTCTTTAAATCAAACAACATCTTGGCGCTTATTAAACATTCTTAATTCTCCTGATCCAACAACTATATATGCTATTTGTTCATTTTCAAATAGAGCAAATGTCAGATCTTATTTTAAAAAGTGACAAAATATAAATTTTTTATTGATTCCAAAATTCATTTAGTTCTACAATAAATGTAAAAACATTATCATGTACTGACGGAATTCTTGAGAAACAAGCTATTGAAAGTCAGTATACAACAATTATTATTGACAGTAGTTGTAGAATTTTATCAACACAGTGTATTGATTCTTCTTTTATAACAAATGTTACTCTTTCTGACACAATTGTTGAAATACAAGATGACCCAATCATCAATGCTCCTATTAAAGAAATTTTCTTACCTAAGTCCGTCAAAATTATCAATGAATTGGATCCTTTCAATGCATTGAGATCGCTCGAAAATATATTTGTTGATGAACAGAATCCATATTTTACTTCGTTAGATGGTGTATTATACACAAAAAATTTCGAGGAAATAGTTCATTATCCATCAGCTCGAACTGCAAAAGTATTTTATTTACCAAAAAATGTTAAAATCATTAGAGACCAATCTTTCTCATACCAATCTTATATAAATTCGCTAATATTTCAAAATGAAATCACTTATATTAATCAATATGCTTTTACTAACTCAAATAATTTACGAAATTTTATTTTCCCATTGGGAATTTCCCTTCCTGCTGCAATTTCGGATATACTCAAAAGTTACACTATTTCATATTATTCAATTGAAATACACACATGTCCAGCCTATTGTTATAGATATTTATTTGATCTTAACATCCTAATGAGTATATTTATTATTATTTCATAAAGAAATAGAAATAAAATTAACTTAACTAATGATTTATCCAATTAATATATCAAAATTCAAAGAATTTTACTTATCAAAGAGGATGCTTAGACATCTTGAGGTTTTCTAAAATTTCCATTTACAATTGATGGTTTCCTTACAATAGCGATTTCCCATCAAAGATCCAATATAATGATAATATATTCTAGACAAAAAATCATTTAGAATTAACGAATAACATAAATATTTAGCTAAATCATATCTTTCGAATCTCAATTCTCTTGAAATAATAGAATTTCAAAGGAAAAATAGACCCAAATCTTTCAAGAATCTGACACTAATCAAAATGAATTTCTTTTGACATTAGTAAAAAAATCAGCTTAAATAAGGCCTAAGAGTACAAATTTTATTAATAAATGTACATTATACGCAAATAATTAATTAGAAAACTATAAATTACGCAAAATTTTTCATCCAATACAATTTCGTATTTGAATAAAAAATAATCGTAATTTCAGTAATTATATTTTAAAGAATAATTGCTTATTTAATAAATATATTTTTGCATTATTAGCGATGCAATTATAAATATAATACAAACTTTTCTGAACTTTTCTCAGAAAAATATTTTGAATATATTGGAATATGAATCGCTTAAAATTGTTTCGGGATTATAAATCTATTAAAAATAAAGAATCTCTAAAAATTTTGAATTGATAAGTATTCAATTTATTTTGGATTTTTAATAGATGCCCGAATTTGTTGCCAGAAGAGCATTTAAGCAATTTCAATTTAATAGTATTGTGGATGATAAAAAGATCAAAATCAGCGATGGAAATCATCAAATGGAAGTTCCTTTTAAAACATTGTGTTCATATAGCAGGAAAGTTATGAATGACTACATGCAAGGAGAAAACATTGAAGAATATAAACTAAAAGGAGTCAGTGATGAAACATTTAAAATCTTTTATCAACTTTTTATAAAAAACAAAGTTTCTATCGAAATTTCTGAAGATATTCTGAAAGAAATATATCAAATAGGCATAGATCTCGAGATTGAAGACTTTTTCGATTGGTATAGTACTCTTATTTTCAGAGATGAAATAAACTTAAAAAATATAGAAGAAGTCCTTTCATTTATAAGAAAATCGCGAAAGAATTACAATGAAAAACTAGATGACATTATCATATTCATAGCGAAAAATATTTCGGAAATAGAACCATCAAAACTTATTGATTTATGTCGTATTGGTTCCGAAAACATATTAAGCAATCAAGATTTCATCGATAAAATCATTTCAAAATGTGAAGAACTCGGATATTTTCAAGATGAAAACAAAGTTGATAAAGTATATGACTTCTTGATTGCGTTGATCAAAGATTGCAGTTATTTTGCTTATTATATCAATAAATTTGATGCTGAAATGATTCGATCCTCAGTAATGAATACGTTATTGGATCTTACTTCGAATGAATCCTACAAGAAGTATCAGAATTATGTTTTAGAAATGCAGAAAAAGATCAACGAACTTGATGGAAGGAATCCGAAAATAGTCAAAGCAAGATATGAACAATATGAATCATTTTTGTCTATTATTTGTGACAAAATTCATTCAAATCAAACAAATGATGAGTTGATCAATAGATTCTTAGATATCTTCCAAATTCAAAACAAATTTGATGATATTTATAATTTCCTTTCGCAGAGAGCAGATGTGAAAGATGAATCGACAATAAAAGTTGCATGTACAATCGGATTATCAGAAATCGTTGATGATCAACAAAACACAATCCTTCTCTCTGCATGTTTGAAGAACAATTACAATCTTGTCGAATCTCTTATCAACAACAAATGCAACAAAACAGCAATTAACAAAAATAAAGACAATGCAGTTCTTTGCACATCAATCAGTGGCAGCACAAAGATATTCGATTTTCTCATTAAAAATGGCTTAGATGCTAAAATATCTAACGAAATCACAGGGAGAAATGCCGTTTTAACAGCTTGTGAAAGCGGAAACTTTGAAATGATTAAGCATCTAGTATCTCAAGGCTTTTCACTTTCAGACTTAGACAAAGAAAATCAAAATTGTATACTTCTAGCTGTTTCTTCTGGTAATTGGGAAATAATCCATTATTTAATTCAAAATGATGCAGACCCATCTCTACATTCATCAAATAATGACCTTCCTATTTTTAGATCCGTAAGGCTTGGACATCTTGAGATTTTCCAGAATTTACTTATATATTGTCACAATTTTGATCCAAATGCTGAAGATGATTTTCTTACAATTGCAATTTCTCATCAAAGATACAAAATAATAAAATACATTATCGACAAAAAATTAGTTAGAATTAAAGAAAAACATAAAAATTTAGTTAAATCGTATCTTTCGAATTGCGATTCTCTTGAAGAAATAGAAACCATAAAGAAGATTGACCCAATTTTTTCAAGCAATTATAAAGCACAGGAATCTACTAAATCTGACGCTAATCAAAACGAATCAGCATATGTTGATATAAATCAAAATGAATCAACACCTGCTGAAACAATTCAAAATGAATCAACATCTGTTGATATAAATCAAAATGAATCAACACCTGCTGAAACAATTCAAAATGAATCAACATCTGTTGATATAAATCAAAATGAATCAACATCTGTTGATATAAATCAAAATGAATCAACACCTGCTGATATAAATCAAAATGAATCAACACCTGCTGATATAAATCAAAATGAATCAACATCTGTTGATATAAATCAAAATGAATCAACATCTGTTGATATAAATCAAAATGAATCAACACTGCTGAAAAATCAAAATGAATCAACATCTGTTGAAAAATTCAAAATGAATCAATACCTGCTGATATAAATCAAAATGAATCAACATTTTCTAATCAAACTCAATCACAAACATCCGACACAGAACAACCAAAATCATCAAAATCTAGTAAAAATAAGGACAGCAAAATAACTATTGATTCATGGCTATTTAAAAGATCAAAATATCGAAAAATTTTCTTCTGTATGACGACTTTAATTATACTAATATTTATATTGATTCATTAATCCAAATTGTAAGTAAATTATTATTGCTAAGTTTATAATATACTAAAATACTAGTTTTCATCTCGTAAATTTATGAATCTCAATTTTTTTGAGAGTATCTGAATTCATAAAGAATAATCATAAGCAAAAAATAATTGATTTCTATATGAATAAAATAAATCAAAAATCAAGAATTCTTCTGGATTCGGAACAATCATCATCAAATTATTGTTTATCATCTTGCAATTGCATTGATCTGAAATTATCAGAGTCTTTAACATTGTCTTGAGGAACTTTCTTATATGGCAAATACTTCAATACTCTCTCATGAACTTCATATAAATTTGAAGTATTTATAAGTGATCGGTGAAGTGATTGTGAAAGAAAATGACTTGACTCAGTTCAAACTTCTATAGACACCGTATCTGTGAGGTTTTGCAAAGAACGAAAGAATGAAGAATGTTTGGAAAAGTGTTAATTTATCTTCAATTTTTTTGTAATCTTTGAAGAAATATTCGAATTCCTCGTTTTTTATTCTTTAAATCAAACAACATCTTGGCGCTTATTAAACATTCTTAATTCTCCTGATCCAACAACTATATATGCTATTTGTTCATTTTCAAATAGAGCAAATGTCAGATCTTATTTTAAAAAGTGACAAAATATAAATTTTTTATTGATTCCAAAATTCATTTAGTTCTACAATAAATGTAAAAACATTATCATGTACTGACGGAATTCTTGAGAAACAAGCTATTGAAAGTCAGTATACAACAATTATTATTGACAGTAGTTGTAGAATTTTATCAACACAGTGTATTGATTCTTCTTTTATAACAAATGTTACTCTTTCTGACACAATTGTTGAAATACAAGATGACCCAATCATCAATGCTCCTATTAAAGAAATTTTCTTACCTAAGTCCGTCAAAATTATCAATGAATTGGATCCTTTCAATGCATTGAGATCGCTCGAAAATATATTTGTTGATGAACAGAATCCATATTTTACTTCGTTAGATGGTGTATTATACACAAAAAATTTCGAGGAAATAGTTCATTATCCATCAGCTCGAACTGCAAAAGTATTTTATTTACCAAAAAATGTTAAAATCATTAGAGACCAATCTTTCTCATACCAATCTTATATAAATTCGCTAATATTTCAAAATGAAATCACTTATATTAATCAATATGCTTTTACTAACTCAAATAATTTACGAAATTTTATTTTCCCATTGGGAATTTCCCTTCCTGCTGCAATTTCGGATATACTCAAAAGTTACACTATTTCATATTATTCAATTGAAATACACACATGTCCAGCCTATTGTTATAGATATTTATTTGATCTTAACATCCTAATGAGTATATTTATTTATTATTATTTCATAAAGAAATAGAAATAAAATTAACTTAACTAATGATTTATCCAATTAATTATATCAAAATTCAAAGAATTTTACTTATCAAAGAGGATGCTTTAGACATCTTGAGGTTTTTCTAAAATTTCCATTTACAATTGATGGTTTTCTTACAATGCGATTTCCCATCAAAATCCAATATAATGATAATTATATTCTAGACAAAAAATCATTTAGAATTAACGAATAACATAAATATTTAGCTAAATCATATCTTTCGAATCTCAATTCTCTTGAAATAATAGAATTTCAAAGGAAAAAATAGACCCAAATCTTTCAAGAATACTGACACTAATCAAAATGAATTTCTTTTGACATTAGTAAAAAATCAGCTTATAAGGCCTAAGAGTACAAATTTTATTAATAAATGTACATTAATACGCAAATAATTATTAGAAAACTATAAATTACGCAAAATTTTTCATCCAATACAATTCGTATTTGAATAAAAAATAATCGTAATTTCAGTTAATTATATTTTAAAGAATTAATTGCTTATTTAATAAATATATTTTTGCATTATTAGCCGATGCAATTATAAATATAATACAAACTTTTCTGAACTTTTCTCAGAAAAATATTTTGAATATATTGGAATATGAATCGCTTAAAATTGTTTCGGGATTATAAATCTATTAAAAATAAAAGAATCTCTAAAAATTTGAATTGATAAGTATTCAATTTATTTTGGATTTTTAATAGATGCCCGAATTTGTTGCCAGAAGAGCATTAAGCAATTTTAATTTAATAGTATTGTGGATGATAAAAAGATCAAAATCAGCGATGGAAATCATTCAAATGGAAGTTCCTTTTAAAACATTGTGTTCATATAGCAGGAAAGTTATGAATGACTACATGCAAGGAGAAAACATTGAAGAATATAAACTAAAAGGATCAGTGATGAAACATTTAAAATCTTTTATTCAACTTTTTATAAAAAACAAAGTTTCTCTATCGAAATTTCTGAAGATATTCTGAAAGAAATAATCAAAATAGGCATAGATCTCGAGATTGAAGACTTTTTCGAATTGGTTATAGTACTCTTATTTTCAGAGATGAAAATAAACTTAAAAAATATAGAAGAAGTCCTTTCATTTATAAGAAAATCGCGAAAGAATTACAATGAAAAACTAGATGACATTATCATATTCATAGCGAAAAATATTTCGGAAATAGAAACCATCAAAACTTATTGATTTATGTCGTATGGTTCCGAAAACATATTAAGCAATCAAGATTTCATCGATAAAATCATTTCAAAACTGTGAAGAACTCGGATATTTTCAAGATGGAAAACAAAGTTTAAAAGTATATGACTTCTTGATTGCGTTGATCAAAGATTGCAGTTATTTTGCTTATTATATCAATAAATTGATGCTGAAATGATTCGATCCTCAGTAATAGACTACGTTATTGGACTAACTTACTTCGAAATGATCCTACAAGGAAGTATCAGAATTATGTTTTAGAACATGCCAGAAAAAGAATCAACGAACTTGATGCAAGGAATCCAAATAGTCAAAGCAAAGATATGTGACAATATGAATCAATTTTTTATCTATTATTTTACCAAAAATTATCATTCAAATTCAAACAAAATGATTGAGTTGTCAATAGCATTTCTTACGATAATTTCCCAAACTTCAAAACAAACTTTGATGATAATTAATATAACTTTCCTTTCGCAAAGAGAGCAGATAGATGAAAGATGAAATACAGAAACAAAATAAAAGTTGCATGTACAATCGGATTATCAGAAAATAGGTGGATGATCAACACAAACACATCACTTCTCTCTGCAATGTTTGAAGAAACATTACAATCTTGTCGAATCTTTCTTATCAACAAACAATGCAACAAAACCAATTTAACAAAAATAAGACAATGCGTTCTTTGCACATCAATCAAGCATGGCAAGCACAAAGATAGTCGATTTTTTCTCATTAAAATTGGCTAGAGCTAAAAACCTCTAACGAAAATCAAACAGGGGAGGATGAATGCCGTTTTAAACAGACTTGTGAAAGCAGGAAAAACTATATGAAATGACTTAACATCTAGTAGCTCAGGGCTTTATCACTTTTCCAAGACTTAGAACCAAATGAAAATACAAGATTGAATAATACTTCTACGTCTGTTCTTCTGGCAAGTTGGGGAATAACTCCAGTTATTTACCATTCAAAGAATGAAATGCAGACCCATCTCAATTACATTCAATCAAATAAACATGAACCTTCCAATATTTTTAGGATCCGTTAAGGCTTGGACATCCTTGAGATTTTCCTAGAGATTTACTCTATATATTGTCACCACATTTAATACACCAAATTGAACTGAAAATCGAATTTTCTTCAATTGTGCTCAGATTCTCATTACAAAAGATACAAAAATAATAAACATTAAAATTAATCGACAAAAAATCTAGTTAGAATTAAGAAAAACATTAACAAACAATTGTAGTTTAAACTCGCTATCTTTCGAATTTCGATTCTCTTGAAGAAACTAGAAACCATAAAGAAAGATTGACCCAAATTTTTGGTCAAAAGCAATTATAAAGCACAGGAAGTCTTAACTAAATCTGACCGCGTAATTCAAAACGAGATCAGCAAGAATGTTGAGTATAAATCAAAATGACATTCAACACTGCATGAACAAAAACAATTCAGAAATGAGCATTCGACAATCTGATTGAAAACATCAAAATGAATACCACACACACCTGTGAAAACAACTTCAGAGATGAGTCAAACATCTGTGATATAAAATCAAAATGAAATCAAACATCTTTGATATGTGAAAATCATAAATGAATCAAGCACCCATGACTGACCGATAATCAGAAAGTGAACCTCATACAGCCTTGAACAGATATAGAATCAAAATGAATTCATACATCTTGTCTGATTAAATCAAAATGAATCAAACACCTCTTGAAAAAGACACTAGACCTACAAGAATCAAGTATGAAATGTTGATATACTTAAATCCACTGTGTCAGTCACAGATAGCACATCTGACGAAATCTCCATTCGCATCTACGACCTACTTGATATTACCGTTGAATAATCAAAAATCACACTGATATTCAAAATGAATCAACATCTGCTGAAACAATTCAAAAATGAATCAACATCTGTTGAAAACAATCTCAAAATGGAATCAATACCGCTGATATTAAAATCAACAATGAATCAACGATTTCTAATCAAACTCAATCACAAACAATCCGACAACCAGAACAACCAAAATCATCAAAATCTAGTAAAAATAAGACAGCAAAAAAAACTATGATTCATGGCTATTTTAAAAGATCAAAAAATACTCGAAAAATTTTCTTTGGATGACGACTTTAATGTATACTAATATTTATTATTGATCATTAATCCCAAATTGTAAAGTTAAA